TCGGGCGACCCCGTCGTCATCCTTCACCCGGCCCATGCCGACGCGATGGCCCGCCCCCGCGGGGCTGAGCGCAGACGGCAACCAGCGAACATGGCAACGGATGTTCCGGGCCAGGCACAGGGCGCACCACCTTCGGCAGCAGATGTTCGTTTTGAAGTCGGAGGCCCCCCCCCTTGCAGAAGGCCAGGATCTGGCCCAAGTTGTTTCCCAAGAACACGATATGACGACCTTCCACCCCAGGGCTTTTCGCGATCCGCCGAAGGGCCCAGATCACCCCCTTGGCTTCCAAGATGTGGATGGGCGCCTTTCGGGTGAACCTACCAGAGCACACGTGCTTCCAGGGGGCCTTGAGGATCCAGTCGGGGCTGATGTCGGGGAACTCGGGGCCCTCCTCCCAGAACTCGTCAGGGTCGTTGGCGCCTGTGGGAACGTAGGTGGCGCACATGTTATCCAAGGCATCTCGAGAGCCTGCGCGAGCGCAAGCCCGATGAGCCGGATCTTGCCGAACCCGAAACCGCAGCCGCTCGTCGCCCCCCCCCCCCCCCCCCCACACTTCTTTCACGTTTTTCTCGCCCCATATACTCTCCACCACCCCCCATCCTGCGGGGCAGGCATCCGCCGCAACGACCTCGCGATGCCAAGGCAAACTCCACTGGGCAAAGGCGAGAGGGAGCAACGCGCGCGCTGGGCTGAGCTCGGCCCGCACGGAGGGCAACAGCTCGACTTGCCCCCCACCAGTATTCCTCATGAGCTGGTCAACCTAATTAGTCGCAGACAAAACTGACAACAGAGGGCGGCGAAGCATGAAAATGAACGCGAGGTGGCCTACGGTCGACGCCGGCTGGTGTCCAGACGCGGCCCCGCGGTCCAGCAGCCAGGTGAACAGGCTGTCGATCTTCCAGGTCTCTTCAAGGCGGCGGTGGCCACCGTGCCAGCGCGCCCATCGATCGCCACCCCATCAATCTCAGCGTCGACCTGGGCGGGGGCGTGCTCGTGGGTGGCGAGGCCAACGTCGTCGAGGGCGTCGCGCGCCTGATCTTTCAAGATCTGCACCTCCTTGCGCTGCGCTGGCTGCCCGAGAAGCCCACGTTGCCCACGTAGACATAATAGAGGGGCTGCCCGCCGGAGGTGGCCAGGCGCGAGCCCTCGAACGTCTGCAGACGACGGTCCGCGGACGCACCTGCGGCGGACTCCACCTGCTTGGTGACCTCCTCTCGCACAAGGAAGAGGGACCACTTGAACCCCATTTGTAGCACCGCGAAGCAAGGGTGCACCCAACAGTCTGGCGACAGCCACTCCCCCTCCGCCTCGTGGATCCAGAGCTCCTCGGCCCGCAGGGGAGGCAGCCCGAAGTACCGGCTCAACTCCACATCGATCTTGAAACGGTAGAAGGCGCCCCGCCCGTGCTGACAAAGATTTCGATGCCATCATCGACCTCGATCAATCCCAGGGACTCGGCGGTGGCCAAATCCACTCCTGGAGGGTCTCGGAAACGTCGGTTGCTGCGGCGAGCGCCCACCGCCAGCCGCTGCTTACCCGACTTCTTCTTGACACAGAACACGGCGGCACGATCCTTGCACGATGTACATCGCCGCAAGATTCCAATTGACTCCAGCCGTTTGACAAACTTGATATACGCCCCCCGGTCCCTCGCCAAGGTACGATCCGCGTAGGGCGTGATCGGCTCAGAGTTGTCAGCCAGCTCCCAAAATTCGATCTCAGGTCTGACCATGCGTTCTTCAAAAATCTACGAGCATAGATACAGCCTCAGCCAGCGCAACGCCCACCGCGCGCGGGCAGTCCGCGCGCGAGGAGGGCACCGACAACCGCTCTTCCTGGTAGTCGCTCGCAGTGTGCTCATCCGAGTCGTAACCGGGTCGGGAACGCAGAAGCGCGCGGGGGCTTCATGCGGACGGGGTGCGATGTCAGTAGCCTGAGAGCGCTGCATCACGCTCCGCAGGTGCTGGACAGCCTCCAACTGAGCCTGAGAGCCCCCGCCGCCAGGTGAAGCCTTCACTCCGCACCCACTCAGCCAGTTAGAAGCATTGCTGGCGTCGTTGGCGCGGTGAGTGACGGCGCGACGGCGAGCGACCCGCTGGCGCGCCCCTCGGCTTAGCCCAGCACGGCACGGCCCCTCCTCTACCAACGTCGGCAAAGGGAAGAGCTCGGGCTGCATCGCGAAAAAGTTGCGGCGGCTCAGCACGACGACGGCCGCCGCGCCGAGCACGAAAAGGGCGCCGCCCAAGGGCGCTGCCCCTCTGAGGTAGACGCTGCCTGCAGCGGGGCCCCTGTAGGCCGCCGTCGCACAGCTAACTCCCAGCCGCGCCTCCGGCCCCTCCTTTGGCGGCCGCCTTTGCCTCAGGATTCGCGGCGCTGGCGCGCACTTCTTGGGCCCGCTGGCGCTGCGTCTCAATCTCAGACTTCTCCTCCGCACGGTTGGCGACGCGAGCCGCCGGGGCGGGGGCGATCCCCGCAGTTCGCTGCTGATGCCCTGACCGCAGTTCCTCGCCCTCTAAGCGGCCCTCCCCCGGCCCGAGACTGGCCGCGTCGAGCAGCGGCTGCGCCCTCCTCGCCAGCGCCTCGAACGCGGCCAGCGAGGCGAGGTTGAGCTGGTCGCGGCAGCCCGCGTGCTCCATGAGCCAGCGCAGCGCCTGGAGCTCGCGCGCGAGGCGGTCTGAGGCGGCGATCCGATTCTCTGCGAAATACTTGTGATACCACTGCGTCGGTGACCCACCCGTCCGCTCGATAGTCTTCGCCATCCACGACGTGGCGCGGGGGCCATCGACGGGCCTTCCCCACCGCCTCCTTCCAAGAGCGGACGCGTTCCCCCTGCTCGTCGCGCAGCACAGCAAGGATCCGCGCGTCGTCGTCGACCTCGTCAGTCGAGCTCGCGCCCTGGCCCTGGGTCAACTTCCATAAGCTGGACGAAGGCTTTGACATGAAAGAGCTGATATCTTTCCACCGCCGCTCCGCGAAGCCGTCTACGTCGCCCGTGCCAATCCGGCGCAGCACCACCACGTCCTCGCCAGCCTTGCCAGACACTGGGGCGCCCGACGCGGCCAGCAGAATGCGGTCGCCCAAGCGGCACACCTCCTTCTCCGCCCGGATCGTCACTGCCGTGAACTCGGTGCGGATCGCGAACAGCTCGCTAGGCTCGCCGACGACCCAGCGGTGCACCGGACTCACTTCGATAGCGCTCACACTTCTATAGTGCTCACTTTGAAATTGTGGTCCGGAAGGGACCGCACATGCATGCACATGCCGCGCAGTCGCATGCACATGCCCATGCAAATATACAAAAGCCTCAACAGCATTGCCGCGCATGCGCGCACATGCCACACCGTCCGATGCACAGTCGAATGCACGGTCGAGCAAAACTCTGAAAACATAGACGCACATGCCCGCACATGCCGCAGAGATGTCGCAGGCGATAGTGGCCTGAACACCTGAGCTCGGGGCATTTCGCAGCCCAGAGTTGCGAGGATGTCTCAGGCAAACGTGGCCGGACCACCATGGGGCAGGGCATCTTGGAAACCAGAATGGCGAGGATGTTGCTGGTCAAGATGACCAGACCACCATGGGGCAGGGCACCTCCGAGGTCTAAGTTGTGAGGGTGTCTCAAGCGAAAGTGGCCTGACCACCATGGGGCAAGAGATCTCCGAGGTCAGAGTTGCGAGGATGTCTCTGGCGAGAGTGGTCTGACCACCTCGGCCCAGGGCGTCTCGGAACCAAGTTGCGAGGATGTGGAAGGAGTCGCCTGACCACCTGCTCAAGGCATCTCTGAACCCAGAGGTGCGAGGGTCTCAAGCGAAAAAGGCCGAGACACTATGGAGCAGGGCATCATTGAGGTCAGAGTTGCGAGGATGTCTCTGGCGAAAGTGGCCTGAACACCTCAACTCAGGGCATCTCGGGCGAGGATGTCTTGCGCGCGGACGCGAACGCGCCGGCGCCCGGAGACGAACGCCGGCCCCGGCATTCTTGCACGCCCCGCACATGCCCCGCACAGGTACGCACAGCATTCGCACAGGCCGAGCTCCCCGTGGCCGAGCCAGGCCAGCGAATCCGAGATTCCCTGAGCTCGGGCCGTCAAGCCACTTTCGCCTGAGACAACCTCGCAACTCTCACCTCCTCCTCCTCCTCCTCCTCCTCCCTCCTCCTCCTCCTCTCCTCCTCCTCCTCCTCCTCCTCCTCCTGGCCGAGCCGAACAGGCGGGCGGGCCGACCGAGCCGGGGGCGTCCGCCTCCTCCGCCCCCCCCTCCTCCCCCCCCCCATTCACCCCTGCTTCTCCGGCCGAGCTGAAAAGGCGCGCGGGAGAGAATTTTACTGGGAGGGCACGCCACCGCCAGCTCACGAACCGGGCGAAGAACCGCCCCCGCCAGCCGCGGGCGAGTCTAAACGCACAACAAACTCTTTCAGGAAGCCCTGGCAAGCCCCAGGTTAGCTCTGCGAAGGCCAGGAGGCATTGGAGGCACAGGGGTCTCAGACAGCTCCTAGGGCATGAGCGCGCATGTGCATTGGGGCGTGCACGCATGGGCACCCGCGCGCTTCACCGCATGTGCGTGCATGTGCGGGCCCGCGCGGCCTCCCGAACAGAGGTTGCGCAGGCATGTGCGTGCATGTGCCGATGACAAATCTGCGATTCTCGAACACCTCCCGCATGTGCAGGCATGTGCGCGCATGTGCCTCGGACTGTGCGTGCATGTGCGTATGGTGGATACACCAAAACACAGCGCACATGCCCCCGCACATGCTCGGGCACGACGTGCACAGTAGGAAGTCCATCCAAGAAGGACCGCACAGGCCTGGCACATGACTGGCACATGCCGCGCATATGCGCGCACATGACAGCGCAAAAACGGCCGCACATGCACCCACCCACGGGTATAGATGTGAGTGCGGTGTAGGCGGGCTCATCCTCCACCAGGGCCGGAGCCGCGCTACGGTCGTCTTCCTCCAGAGGCGGGGTCGCAGTCCTTTGGATCACGCCTGGGACGTCCCCGTCAGCTCCTCGTCGCACGGCGACGCCCAAACCCTCCTGCTGCTTGCTACGGCAGGTTCGTGTCGTGCCGACCCCAGCGTTGGTTTTTGACACCGCAGGGATCTTTCAACCTTGAACGATCGGCCGCTGCCGCAACGTCCGATCGTTCAACATCGATCGATTCTGGGTCGCCGGCGGCGTTCAACCTTGAAGCGCCCGTGCTGGGGTCGCCGCTGGTCGACACGACGCAAACCTACCGTACGCACGCGGCGTGGGGGTGGCACAACTCCGCCCCCGCGCCAGAGGTCTTCCAGCGCCGCCACCTGGCCGCCCCACAACTGCGCGAACGGGGTGGCCTCGACCACGCTGTCTCCTGGGCGGGTAGCCGCCCTGGCCACCTGCTTCGCCTCCATCATCTTCAGCCTGAGGGCCCGCGGGCCCACCTCCTCACGGAAGCGGTACCTCGGCGACGTCACGTGCGCCGGCACCACTCCGCCAGGAGCCAGAACCACGAACTCCTCAATGTCGCCGTCGACCAGCTCCTCGGCCACCTGCTCCCCGCCGGGCGACTCCGTGATCCACTCCACCTCCGTCAAAGGCCACAAGCACACCCTCTCGTGGGGGAGGTCCCCACCGGCGTCGGCGTAGCGGACGAAGATCCTAGATCCAATGACGCCGCCACCGCGGCCACCGCGGAGGGCAGGCCTCCGCGCTGGGTTGCCGGCAGCACCGCCATGCTGTCCGCCGCGCCTCACTCCGAACAGGAAGCCGCAGCTCACCGACGCGGCGACGTTCCCGACCAGCACCAGCGCGAGGACCACCCACGGCGGCCCCTCCGGGCAGCTGAGCCCGGGGCGCGGCGGGCACGGTGCTTGCGGGCAGACAAACTCCGGCGATGGGCAGGTCAGGTTGGGGCAAGGCGGCACCAGTGGGCACGGCCCTGGAGGCGGGCAGGCCTCTCCGCCGCCGCCGGCGACGGTCCAGCTGGCCACCACTCCAGCGACAGCGCCACGCCCGATCTCCCGCGCCGCTGTCTGAAGGAGATCGCTCACGGAAGCTGGGAGCAGCATCAAGGTGCGACCCCTCAAAAACTTTGAGCATGCATGGGCCGCGGATGCTACCCAGCTCGCAACTCCCACTCGCCTTCATTCCAGTCACAGACAGTGCCATACACACATATATATATAGATATACACTAGAACCATCGCGCGCTTCGCGCGCGCTCAAGTTCTAGCTAGGCTTGACGGGCGAACGCATGGAATGTCATCCTTGCAGCTTCTTGCATCCAAAGACTCTCTTGGAGGCCCTGCGCAAGCCTCGGAATCGTATAGAAAGGGAACTGCGGAAACGCAAAAAACATGAATTGCCGTTAGGTATTCAACGATTTGGGGCCCTCGAAGGCTTCCTGGGTTCTTTTCTGGTGCCTGAATTGAAGACAAAGGGGGCGAACTTGGAAAAAAAACGGAATGGTGGGATCTCTCTCTTTTTCAAGATGTAGTGCCTGGGCTGTGGGTTAGACGTTTTCTGCATGTAGGCCGCGGTCTGTTGGGATGCCTCTCGGGGTCTTCGTGCAAATATAGGCAGGGGTGAGTTTAACAAAGGAATTCTAACATTCCACTGCTTCAACTCATGGGATCATGGGATCTTGATTTCTACAATGGTTTCAGGGGCAGCCAAAAGGACACGAAAACGATCCAAGAGAGTGCCAAGACAGCGTCAGAGAGTTCAACCGAGTTCCCGAAACATTTTTGCATGTTACCCCGAAGTCTTGATGGGGCTCGAGGAAGAGGATAGGGGGTAGGAGTCCAAACTTGAAAACAAATAATATCTGGAATTCCTTCTTTTTCTTCAGAATCCTTAATCTTGGAGCGTTGGAAGCGGGAAAACGTGAGAAGGCGAAACACGTCTACAAAAACCATTGGAAATCAACGATTTTACCCTCTTCGGGCTCTCTCGGAACGGCTCTCGAAGCTCTCTGGGGCTGTTTGGGGGGCCTCGTAGGAGCTTTTTGGGGGGCCTCTCAGGGGTCTGGGGTGTGTTGGAGGCCTCTGGGGGGTCCTGGAGCCCTCTCGGAGGTCTCTGGCGGCCTCCTGCTCCCGCTCATGGGCTCATCTTGGGCCTGCTCTGGGGTGGTCTGGAGCTGTCCTGGGCGCCTCTTCGGCAGTCTTCGGGCCGTCTTGGCCCGTCTTGGGGCCGTCTTGGGGGCCTCTTAGGCGCTCTCGGGGCGGTCTTGGGGGCTTCTTCGGCCGTCTTGGAGCGTTGGAAGCATGAAATGGTGAGAAGGCCAAAAACCCCCAGAAAGACACAAAACTTCACGATTTGAGATTCTCCGGGCTCTCTCGGGAGGCATGTCGGAGCTCTCTTGAGGTCTCTTGGAGGCCTCCTGGGAGCCTGGGGAGCCGCCCGAAAGCTATCCTGGGTTGCTTGGGAACGTCTTGGGCCTTTCTTTGACGTCCTGGGGGCTTCTTGGGGTCGTCTTGGGCGTTCTTGGGCGTTTTGGGAGCTCCCCGGGAGGCCGGGAAGCGCGGTACTGGAAGCGTTCCGCAAATGTTCCGGGAAAGTGTGGGACCCCTGGGAGGGGGCACGCATTTGTTGAACGTTTCAAAAAGAGGGTATCTCTGAAATTCCTTATTTGTTCTTCAAATTCCTCGGTCTTGGAGCGTTGGGAGCCAGAAAACGTGAGAAGGCGAAAAAACGTCGACAAAAGCCATTGGGAAGCAACGATTTTACCCTCTTCGGGCTCTCTCGGAACGGCTCTCGAAGCTCTCTGGGGCTGTTTGGGGGGCCTCGTAGGAGCTTGTTTGGGGGCCTCTCAGGAGTCTGGGGTGTGTTGGAGGCCTCTGGGGGGTCCTGGAGCCCTCTCGGAGGTCTCTGGCGGCCTCCTGCTCCCGCTCATGGGCTCATCTTGGGCCTGCTCTGAGGGTCTGGAGCTGTCCTGGGCGCCTCTTCGGCAGACTTGGGGCCGTCTTGGCCCGTCTTAGGGCCGTCTTGGGGGCCTCTTGGGCGCTCTCGGGGCGGTCTTGGGGGCTTCTTCGGCCGTCTTGGAGCGTTGGAAGCATGAAATGGTGAGAAGGCCAAAAACCCCCAGAAAAAAAAAACTGAAACTTAACGATGTTAGATTCTCCGGGCGCTCTCGGGAGGCCTGTTGGAGCTCTCTTGAGGTCTCTTGGAGGCCTCCCGGGAGCCTGGGGAGCCGCCCGAAAGTTATCCTGGGTTGCTTGGGAACGTCTTGGGCCTTTCTTTGACGTTCTGGGGGCTTCTTGGGGTCGTCTTGGGCTGTTCTTGGGCGTTTTGGGGGCTCCCCGGGAGGCCGGGAAGCGCGGTACTGGGAGCGTAATCGAGATGTGAGCGAGGTGCAGGACGCCCCGGGAGGGGGCCTGGCGTATTATAGTATATAGCTATATGAACACATAGAGATGTAACCGCATGCTGAAAATAATCCCCTGGGGAAAAGGAAGTTCGGGGTCAAATCGGGAGAACAAACTGTTTCCCGGAGGTATTGATGTTCGGATGTCTGAATAGCGTTTCGCATGGGAGATCCTCACAATCAGAGCTACGATCGGAACTTCGGGGCGGATAAAGAAGGTTCGGCTTCCCCGCCTGCTGCTTCAATTGAACCACGTTCAATCCCGTGAGTAGGATCCGAAAGGAGAGGATTGGATGCTTTATGACCCGGGGGCTGCGGTTACATATACATATATATATACATATATGCACATATGTATATGTAGATACATATATATATATACAATATACATATATACATATACATATACATATACATGCACGTATACATATACATATATATATATATATATATATACATACATATATATATATGTACACACTTGAACCGAATCACACGCGCGCTTCGCACGCACTTAGGTTCGAGCCTAGCGCATGGCGCTATGATGACACGAAGGTCGATGCTTGCGGGCCAGTCGCTGTCGGAGAAGGGTTGTGACCGACGTTGGCCGATTATGGGATGTCGCAGGGCTTCCTTGGACTGGCTTTGGGGCTGTTCAGGCGTTGTCCTGGGGGGAGGGCAGGTGTCCCTGGCCCCAATGGGCGCCGCCCAGGGTTGCCAGATCGTTGTCGCGACATGCAAGTCTCGGCTAACGGGCTCGTCGGGAAGATCGCTGAATAGCCCTGGGGCGCGTATGGGCTTTCTGGTGACATGTGAAGACGTAGTTTGGTCTGTGACTGTCGTCGCACCTCCTTGGCCTAATCTGGGCGAATAAAGCGTGCGGGAGGCGCGAGACATGACGGAGTACGGCGGGTTCGTGTCGTGCCGACCCCAGCGTTGGTTTTTGACACCGCAGGGATCGTTCAACCTTGAACGATCGGCCGTCTCCGCAACGTCCAATCGTTCAACATCGATCGATTCTGGGTCGCCGGCGGCGTTCAACCTTGAACGCCCGCGCTGGGGTCGCCGCTGGTCAACACGACGCGAACCTACCGTAAGGGGAAGCACTAGCTGTCGCGCCAACTCGCGGAGCACGTGCTCAAAGGATGACGCATGCGGGGGGACACAGGACGCGCTGTCACGGCAGGTGGCGGAGCACTCTCGGGAAGGTCGAGGCGAGACGGAGGACAGAGAGAACGCAACCCTAAAACATGAAATGCATGTGCTGTTACGCCAGCTGGCGGAGCACGTGAAAACACTCCTCCTGGTCCCACCGCCGCCCACCGAAGAAATCGGCCGTGAACTTTCACCAAAACCTGTCAAACGTCCGGCAAGACCCCTTCAACGCGGGGAAGATAATAGTGCAGTGTCCCGGCCAAGCACCGTGCACTGGAAGTACTAACTAGACGTCAAAAACGTGTCTGCATTCATCTATAGGGGTGGCAGCTTCGCTGTGATCGTCCTCCCCTAAAAGACCTCCAACAAGGTACCCCGCTCGCTTTAGATTGCGAGCGAAAAAATTAAGGTATGCTATGCCCTCGTTGGTGCGGCCATGGACCACCTTCAGGGCAATAGTTCCGAAAGACATCCACTCTGTGCCCGTGTGGGATGCCCCAGTGCCTGCGCTGAACATCAGCCCGTGACCACTGCCTAGCTTGTGATTGTGGACTATGGACTCTGCCCATTTCCCAGTGATGTTGACGCTCAAGAAGTACGTGTCCGCGCAAGCGCCACCCACCTGCCGCGCGTCGGCCTCCACACGAAGAAGCGTAGACAGCGGACGCGCATCGAGGGGCACGAGGAGGAGGACGTGGGCTCCAGGCTTCATCACGTCGAAATGCTGCCCTGCCACATTAACAAGATGCGGATCGCCTGACGCGCTCACACGCGGCAGCGCAGTCGGGGCCGCTGTTGGCGCCGCTGTAGGCGCAGCTGTCGACGCCGCAGTCGGCGCAGCGGTCGGCAAACCAGTCGGGGCTGCAGTCGGCGCAGCTGTCGGCGAAGCAGACGGGGCCCTCGTCGGAGCAGCCGTCGGCGCAGCTGTCGGCGCCGCAGTCGGCGAAACAGTCGGCGCCGCAGTCGGCGCAACTGTCGGTGAACTGGTCGGTGCCCTCGTTGGTGCAGCCGTGGGCGCAGCGGTTGGCGAACCAGTCGGCGCCGCAGTCGGCGCAGATGTCGGGGCCGCAGTCGGCGAGGCAGTCGGTGTCGCAGTAGGTGCAGCTGTAGGCGCCGCTGTAGGCGTGGCTGTCGGCGCAGCAGTTGGGGCAGCTGTCGGCGACGCTGTCGGCACCATTGTTGGTGCAGCAGTCGGCGCGGCTGTCGGCGCAGCTGTTGGTGCAGCTGTCGGCGAGGCTGTCGGTGCCTTTGTCGGGGCCGCAGTCGGCGCAGCTGTCGGTGAACCAGTCGGTGCCGATGTCGGCACAGCTGTCGGCGCCGCTGTCGGTGCCGCTGTCGGTGCAGCAGTCGGTGCAGCTGTCGGCGTCGCTGTCGGCGCCGCCGTCGGCGCGGCTGTCGGTGCCGCTGTAGGCGCAGCTGTGGGCTGCGCAGTCGGAGCGGCTGTCGGTGCCGCAGTCGGTGCAGCCGTCGGTGCCGCAGTCGGCGCAGCTGTCGGGGAACCAGTCGGTGCCATCGTTGGTGCTGCAGTCGGAGCAGCAGTCGGCGCAGATGTCGGGGCCGCAGTCGGAGAGGCAGTCGGTGTCGCAGTAGGTGCAGCTGTGGGCGAGGTCGTCGGCGCGGCGGTTGGCGTCGCCGTCGGTGTGCTTGTCGGCGTGAATGTCGGAGCTGTGGTGGGGGCGTGCGTGTAGCAAGTTTGGCTCGACTCGTCGGCAAAGAATGAAGAAGTTCCGGACATTGCGAAATTGCGGCCCCAAACATGGATGTAGTGGTCGGGCATGCTCGACAATATCTTGAATCTGACAAAGAACTCGGTGACGTTGAAGAACTCGACCATGAAGCATCGCTTTGCCTGGTCCACGGTCGCGGCCGACGCGTCTGGGCAAGTGATGTTGATCAGCTGGTTTGAGTCTTGCGGGTTGTCGCAAGCGTGGCCGAACATCCGCGAGGTTGCCTGGACCGCAAATTTTTCGCCAGAACTAGAGACGTACTTCCTGGACGTCCTGCCTGGAATCGATGTCTGGATGGAAGATGTTGTGTATGTCAATGGGACCCGAGTTCCATCCCTGAGAGTATTGAATTCGAACAAATCCAGATCAAAATCAATGCCATCGTCGACCGTATAGATAGCATTGACACCGTCGAGACATAAGACCTCGTTCTCCCCATCCTCGTAGTGGTCAATGTCACAGAACGTAATCTTTGGCAGGTGTGGCGTCTCAGGGCAGAAGGTATGGTTTCTCACAAACTCTGCCTTCAGATTTACAAATTCCCCGACAAGCAGGTTCACAGTTGCCTGAGACCCAGAAACCTTGTTCCAGCTAGTAGTTCTCGGAATATAATCGGATATATTGACGAACGCTACATCGATGTGAACCCCGTTTGCGAGCTGTCCGACTCCATAATACCTGAGCTCCCTGGGCTTGCCAAAATCAGGGCCCAGTCCAGCAAGGTTGGAGTGAGAGGTCCTCCCCTCGCCATCGTCGTTCGACTCCCTGAACTCGATCCAGTCCTCGCAGACTGCGTCGACGGGACGGTCGTGCGCGGGGCACTCCCGCGGGCACGCGCAGCACATGTCCGAGGAGAAGTCCCCGTCGTCATAGTAAGGGTCGAAGCAGATACCCGAGAACGGCGCATCCACGTCGTGCGTGTAGGCTTCACACGAGCGGCCCATTCTGTTCGTAGCACCGTTGTCGGCATCTACGCAGGCGGTCGGCGATGGTGTCGCAGCTGCTCGTGCTGGCTCAGATGATCGGCTCACTCCTCGATGATGGCGTGAAGACAGCCAGCCACGAGGCCACCGTTCGGAACGCTCCGTCGCGTTCTGCACCTCATACGACAAATCATTCATAGAGACCTGCAGCATGGCCACATCGATGTGCCCCGCACGCTCGCGCACTTCTAATGTATCTAGGCTGGCCCTTGCGGCTCCTACGGCACACGTAGTACAAGTAGGGGAAGAAAACAACAATAGCGCTACTGCAAACTGTTTTGCGCACCATGGTGCAACACCATGATGCGACGATGAGATACACATACCTATATTTCAATACCCGGATGATCGAGCTGGCCGTTCAGCCATTCATGGCCGCTCAACCGTCTTGAGCCAAAATGGCTAATTACGGGAGGCCATCCTGAGCGCTCTTGGTGCCCTGTTGGGCCGTCTTCGGCTCATTTCGGTTCCTCTGAGGCGGTCTTTGAGGTATCTTAGGCTGTCCTGGAGGCCTCCTTGGCCGTCTAGAGGTTTCTTGGAGGCCCCGGGGAGAGGGTATAAAACAGGGGGGCGAACGAGTTGCGAGGTGCCCGGCCCCGGGGCGAGGATCAAGGTCCGAAGTTGTTTTGTCTTCGGGGGCTCTCGTCGTCGCCGCGGCTGGCAGCATCTCGAAGCGACGTGTTGTTTGTTCCGAGGAGGTGCTGGACGAGGACGGGGAAGGAGATGAGGAGGCAGAAACATCAATAGCAATTGGAGCAACAATTGGGCCGCCTTGAACCACTCTTTTCGGCGTCTCGGGGATCTCTTTGGGCCGTCTTGAGCTTACACCACCGCTCGCCTTTAGGATCCCTGGTGTTTGGAACTCGTTACGTGATGAAACGCAAGAACCGGACGAACATCTACGCATGTAGCGTCTCTGGGCCTTCCCACTTTTCGCCCTCTCGGGCCGTCCTGGGACCCATTTGGGGCACCTTGGAGGGCTTTGGCTGTCTTGGGGCCTTGTTTGGGCCCTCTTGAAGGGCTCTCGGGCAATCTTGGACCTCTCTCTCTTTCCGTCTTGGGGCCGTCTTGGAGCGCCCTTGGGCCGTCTTGGGGCTGTCTTGGGCCGTCCTGGGGCCCTGTTTGGGAGCCGCTTGGGCCGTCTTGGATCGATTTCTGGGCCCTCGTGGGCTGTCTTGGCCCGTCGGAAGCATGAAAAAGCCTGAACGCGGAAATCAGTTAAAACCTTAGAAAGATATGATGATTCGCCTCCTGAGGGCCTCGTGGGACTCCTTTTGAAGGCGTCTTGGATGTCTTGTGTCCCTCTAAGGCTGTCTTCAAGCCATGTTGGGCCATCCTTCCCCTTTCCCCACAGCGTCGTTGCTTCCACCCCTCTCCCAGGGCCTCCTCCTGAAGCGTGCCAGTCCAAAGCGAAATTGAGCAACGTCGCAATTGAGTCGAAGGGAAGCCCCTTCCCTTTGATCCCTTCCCCGCCGGGGGTTGTCCCGGGGTGGGTACCGGGGGGGTCCCGGGTTTTTACGCCGCCCCCCCGGGGAATCCCGGAGCCCAAAAAAGCCCCAAGACGGGCCAAGAGTGCCCCAAGAGGCCCCCAAGACGATCCAAGAGGGCCCCGAATCGCCGAATGATCTGTCCAAGACGCCTTGGCGGCCTCCAGACGGCCCAAGAGGCCTGCGAGACGCCCCAAGAGGCCTCCAGGACCGTTCCCACGAGAGCCCCAAGAGGCAAAAATCATGGACTTCCCATATGTATTTCAAGAATTTTGACGTTCTCGCCTCTTCCGCTTCCCCACGCGCCAAGACGGTCCAAGAGGCCCCCAAGGTCGCCCTGAGACGGCCCAAGAGGCCTCCAAGAGAGTCCCCAAACGGCCCAAGAGTGCCCCAAGACGGCCCAAGACGCCTCCAAGACGGCACAAGAGGCCCCCAAGACGGCTCCAAGAGAGTACCCAGACGGGGGATCCGAACGGACATTTCGAGCCCTCAGCCCCGAGAAGCTCCCAAGAGGCCCCCAGGAAGCCCAAAGAGGCCCCAAGAGGCTCCCAAGAGGCCCCCAAACATCCCCCCAGAGGCCCCCGAGAGCGCTCGGAAGAAACCCCAAGAAACACGTTTGAGGACTCAACCCACGTCAGCATCGTCGTCGTCGCTACCGCCGCCGCCGCCGCCGTCGTCGTTCCCCTTCAGGGTCGGCGGCACCGGCCGTAAGGCCGTCGAAATCAGTTAAAACCTTAGAAAGATGTGATGATTCGCCTCCTGAGGACCTCGTGGGACTCCTTTTGAAGGCGTCTTAGCTGTCTTGTATCCCTCTAAGGCTGTCTTCAAGCCACGTTGGGCCATCTTGGTACGCTCTGGGGCGGTCTTGAGCTCTCTTGAATCGCTTCTGGGCCGTCTTCGAGCTCTCTTGGACGTCTCTTGGGCCCTCTCGTCGCCCCTCTTCCCCTCCAAAAAGGCCGTGTGCAAAATCGGTGCTCCGCCGCCGTGCCGGGAGGTGCGAAGAGGAGTTTGACCCCCAGGCTCTCACGTGTCCTCGGTTCTCTCTGTGCTCAGGACCCTGGGATTATGGTGCTCTAGGGGCTCGGGCCCCAGCTTCTCAAATATCCTGGGCGCTCCTGCGCGGTCCAGGGCTGCCTCGCGTGACTTTGCCAAGGAGGCCAGGGGGGCCCAAGACGGGCCCACAGGGGCCCACGAAGTGCCCAAGAGGCATCCAGAGGCCTCCAAGACAGCCCAAGAGCACTCCAAGACGCTCACTATGGCCCCAAGACATCCCAAGGGGCCTCAAAGAACACCAAAAGCGCCCCAAAAGGACCTCCAAGGGGGCCCCAACAAGCCAAACGCATAGATTTCCAATGTGTTTGTTCCTGTACGTTTCACGCTATCGCCTTTTCGAGCTTCCGACACTCCAAAACTGCCCTAAGGGCCCCCAAGACCACCCCAAGACTGCCCCAGAGACCCTCAAAAGGGCCACAAAACGGCCCAAGAGGGCCCCGAATCTGCCCAAGAGGCGCCCAAGGTCGCCCAAGAGGGCCCCAAAACGGCCCCAAAAGAGGCCCAAGAGGGGGAACGCGCACCGACAATTCGAGCCTTCCGCCCCAAGAGGCACCAGGAGGCCCCAGGAGCCCCCAGGAGAGCCCAAGCGACCCCCCAGAAGCCCCCGAGATGTCCTCTTCCTCCTCCTCCTCCTCCTCCTCCTCCTCCTCCTCCCTCCTCCTCCTCCTCCATCAGGTGGCCTCAACCCTGGCCCCAGGAGGCCCTTGGGAGGCCGCCCGCGACATCCAGACGAAAGTCCCAGAGGCCTCTAATGCCACAGCCCAGGCACGGCGGCGGAATGGGCCGAAAGCCACTAACCCTGACTACCTACCAGACCACCCCAACCCAACCCGAAGACCCGAATTTGACCCGAATGTCGGGTTGGGGGGGGTACGGGTTCCATGTGTTTTTTCAACGTTCCCCGACCCCCCCCCACTGGAAATGGAGGGCAAATTGAGGCCTTCGGGTTGGGTTGGGGTGGTTTGGTACGTGGTGAAACCCCATGCCGAGGATAATAAAGTACCCCCCCCCTTAAGTCGTTAGAGTTTTTTTCATCGTCGGCCTAGAAGGGTTTCAACTATAGGCGGAGGGCGCGGAGGCCGAACTTCATCATCACTGGGAAAGTTCGCCATCGATGTTACTTCCTTCTTATGTTGGGATAACAACATCAAGCGAAGCGAACACGTGTGCTCGTTCTCTCTTTTTCTTTGTGTTGCTTTATGTTTCTCTCTCTCTCTCTCTGTCTCTCTCTCTCTCTCTCTTTCTCTGCCTTTCCTTCTCCTCCTCCCTCTGGCGCCCTGAACTTGTTCATCGCTGGGGTTGATTATCCTGGGGAAACTAAGCACATGAGCTACCCTACACGAGCAGATGAAACTTTTAATTTTCATTAAGCGCTTACACATTAAATCTAATACGTTTTCAGCTTTGGATTTTTGCTTCTACCTCCTGCTCTGCTTCTCCTGCTCGTCCTCCTTCTCATCCTTCTCCTCTTCCTTGTATTATTTCTTTATATTTATCTTTCTAGTTTTTTTTCTTCTTGTCTCCCTGGCCCCCTGAACTTGTTTATCGCTGGGGTTGATTATCCTGGGAAAACTAAGCACATGAGCTACCCCTACACGAGCAGATGAAAATTCTAAGTTTCATTAAGCGTTTACAAATTAAATCTAGTAAGTTTTGAACTTTGGATTTTTGCTTCCTCGTTATTCTCTCCTCCTCTTGCTCTTTCTCCTCCTTCTCATCCTCTTCCTCCTCTTCTTCCTCTACCTCCTCTTCCTCTTCTTCTCTTTTTGATGAGGAGGATGTCTCAAGCGAAACAAGCAATTCGTTGAGGATGTCCCAAGATCGCCCCAAGATCACCCAAGAGGCCTCCAAGATGGCCCCCTGACGGCCCAAGAGGCCCCTCAAGACGTCCCAAGAGGGCCCCAAGACGGCCCAAGAGGCCTCCAAGACGCCCTCGATGGCCTCGAAGACGGCCAAGATGGCCTCCAAGCTGCCTCCAAGACGGCCCAGATGGCCTCCAAGACGGCTAAGATGGCCCCAAAATGCCTCCAAGACGGCCCAAGATGGCCTTAATATGGTCTAAGACGGCCCCAAAGGCCCGCAAGAGGCCTCCAAGATGACCCAAGAGGCCTCCAAGAGGTCCTTCACGAAGGCCCGGCGAGGCCAAAATCATTGATTTTCCTAAATTTTTGAAGGATTTTGGCATTTGCGGCTGTTCGGCTTTCCGACAACACAAGACGGCCCAAGAGGCCCCCAAGGTCGCCCCAAGATCGCCCAAGAGGCCTCCAAGATGGCCCCCTGACGGCCCAAGAGGCCCCTCAAGACGTCCCAAGAGGGCCCGAAGACGGCCCAAGAGGCCTCCAAGACACCCAAGATGGCCTCTAAGACGGCCCTGGAGCATCCCAAGAGGACCCCAAGTCGGCCCAGAAAGGCCCCCCAAACAGCTTCCGACGGCCTCCAAGAGGGCAATCGAGGAAGGCCAGTAAAAGCCAAAAACATAATTTTCCGCAGATTTTTGAAGGATTGTGACATTTGCTTCATTTCGGCCTACCAATGGCCCGATGCAGCCCAAGAGCCCCCAAAGATCGCCCAAGGATCGCCCAAGAGGCCTCCAAGATGGCCCCAGAACGGCCCAAGAGGCGCCCAAGACGGCCCGAAGAGGCTCCCAAGACGGTCGAAGAGGCCTCCAAGACGCTCAAGATGGCCTCCAAGACGGCCCACGAGCCGTCCAAGACGTCCTCCAAGAAGGCCCGAAAGAGTCAAAATGGCCTCCAGGCGGCCAAGATGACCTTCAAGATGCCCACGTGTTCCCCGAAGGCTTTCCAAACCGATTCGGGGAACGCATGGTCCGATAGCTTGGCAGGTCTGGCCTCAACGTTCGGCCACATCGGCGCTTCCAGAAAGGCAGGGGGCGGCGATGATTCGCCGTAGGCGTCTTC